CTCTGTCAACTGTGCTGACAGCTGGTTGGTGCGCATGGCTAGCCCTAGCTATGGAGCTTGTACCCGCAGAGAACAGAAAGCTAGTCATCACTAGCTTTCCCTCTGTTCACATGCAGTCACAGTAGCTTATGTGCTATGAGAATAGAGGCATTGTGGGGCCAAGTCCCAAGTCCCCAGGTCTGGTGGAACATTTAACAAGGCACAGCATCTCAGTCAGTGCTCCTCAATTCTGTGCTTGGCTGGAATGGGATGTGGCACTGGGGAGCCTAAAGCAGTCAGAGGGTATCCTATGCTTGAGGACCAGAGAGCCGCCACTGTGAAAGCCTTAGCCTGTCTCTGTCCTGCAGAGCACAACCAATGCCCCTTTAGTTGGCTGCAAACCAGCCCAGGACATGGGTAGTATCTGAGCCACATCAGCTGCCAGGAGGCCATGATCCGAGAGAGTGGCACCTGGTACCCATTGCTCTTCTGCACAGAGATGTGGCAGCAATGGTGGGCAGGTGGGCTGGCTCCCTCAGATTAGGTCCTTGGGGTTCTTTGGTAGTTGTCTGTGTAGAAGAATCAAAGGAGTCAGTGGTGGTAGATAGGAAAGGACAGAGCTGTGTGACCTGAAGAGATGCTAAGCTCAACAGCCAGGCCTGGGGGCATTGGGGGCCCTGTGTAACTCCAGGTGGCAGCAGAGGACACACAGAGGTAACCATGCTTAGAGCCCTTTCTTCAGGATAGCACACAGGACAAGGGCAAGTGCTGAGGGGCTGCAGAGCTCAGAGTTGAGGCAGTTTCTTTCTTCTTTTCTTTGGTCTTTGGGGGTAGGGATAAAATCTTGCTATGTAGCTCAGGCTAACCTTGAATAACCATCCTCCTGGCCCAGATTACAAAGTACATGGGATGAGAGGCATGCACCACCTACACCTGACTCCAGGAGTCATTTCCTTAAAGCTGGGTGAGATTGTTTTGGTGCAGGTGGCCATGGAATGATACAGGGCAAATTAAAAAGGGTCGGCACGTTCATGCACTCATGTTAGCTTCCGGACAGAAGGACACATTACCTGCCCTGGACTCTTAAGCATACTTCTGGCAGGTGCATCTGACTTTCTGGATTGGGCAGGGACACTGCTGATCCTCACAGGCAAGGCCCTCTGATAAGTCTGTTGTCATCCTGAAATTGCCTCTACCTTGGTTGAGAAAGGATACAATAGGTGCCAGTTCAAGGCCACAGAAAAGCAGTGTCCACCTGCACATAGCTAGGACCCAGCCATGCCTTGACCAGGAATGACATGAGAAGTCCTTGGGGAGCTGGAAGCACTCTTCACAGCCTTGTTCTTTTGGGGTATCCCTTTTGACATTCCCTACGAGCAGGTTTTGCTCCTGTGATTGGTATTCCTTCGGGGCAGTGTTGTGGTAGAAAACCAATTTTTCATGTGCACATGTGGGTGGAGGGAGTTCCTGGTATCATTTTCCAGGGGTCTGACCATGACTGGATCACAGGCCAGTGGTGCAGTGAGCTCTGGGAGAACAGAGTGGGAACTGTGACTGGGCAGCACCATGCAGAGCCCAGGGTCTCAGGGCATCCTTTGCGGAAACAGCAGTGAGTTTGGTCTTGCTCGGCCTAGTTAAATGGAGCCAGAATTGCCACTGTGATTGTTGGCAGGATTTTGTTTGCTTGCTGTTTTGTCATCTTCTTTGACAGGCTCAAGACTTGGGGGCAGAGACAGGCAGAAAGAGCCCCCACCAGTTTGTGCTAGGAGTGAGCTAAACTGAACCTGCTTGTTTGTGGTCTAGCAATGAGGGAGGAAGACTAGGGGTCATTGGAGATGGCGCAGAGAGCCTCTAGACTCAGACCACAAAGGTGGCAGCCTCTCCTTGCTCTTCTGGAAAGGTGGCCCTGGGGCATGGTAGCACTTTACCAGTGCCATGAGCAGGGGGTCAGAGTGTCACATGATGCCAGAGACCTGCTGTGCTGTGGCCTTCCTGGCTCCAAGGCTTCCCGACTCCAAAGGAGTCCAGTTGACAGTTCCACACCAGGTAGCTTGAGACACAGCCAGAGCCCGGGTACTAACTTTTCTTTCTCTCTTCTGCAGACCGGAAGCCTCCCCTTGCTGCTGCCTTAGGTGAGGCTGAGCCGCCTGGTCCAGTGGAAGCCGGTGACCTCCCCAAAGTCCAGATTCCTCCTGGCTCCAAGGCTTCCCGACTCCAAAGGAGTCCAGTTGACAGTTCCACACCAGGTAGCTTGAGACACAGCCAGAGCCCGGGTACTAACTTTTCTTTCTCTCTTCTGCAGACCGGAAGCCTCCCCTTGCTGCTGCCTTAGGTGAGGCTGAGCCGCCTGGTCCAGTGGAAGCCGGTGACCTCCCCAAAGTCCAGATTCCTCCTCCAGCCCCCCCGGCCCCAGTGCACCAGCCCCCACCACTGCCACATCGGCCCCCACCCCCTCCCCCTTCCAGCTACATGACCGGGATGTCTACCACCAGCTCCTACATGTCAGGAGAGGGCTACCAGAGCCTGCAGTCCATGATGAAGACCGAGGGCC